TTGTTGCATGTGAACCAGGTCAGTGCAGGTGGGAGAGGCAAAGGAATAATATTACATGTGGGAGGAGCAAGGAAGGATAGATGGACGGACATTGTTAGGATAATGAAAGGAGGGAAGGGAGTGCCTTTCTTTTGGTCGTGGAGCAAGACATTCTTTCAGGGTGACTCGAAACTCAACTCTGGAGTATATTACAGTCTTTCTATGCATGTTTATGCAAGAGCAAGTTTCACTGAAATCCCTGGCACTTCTGAGAAAACAGCATGTATAGGGTCAGGTTCCGTAAGGATAATTATTCATGGGTTAATGAACAAAAGGAGCAGGGCAAAGTGTGCACACAAGCCCAGAGGACATACTCTGGTCTATGCCTAGTACTCATCTTTGATCCTGCCCCAGGTCTTTGAATTTTAGATGCAAAGATTGTGAAAGCTAGTACTGTGGGTCATGTTTGCTTCATTTATTAATCTGAAATGCAAATTTTAAAGCCAACCCATTGGACAGCATCGGTACTGATTGTGGGGCACTTCCATAGAGGCATCAGTTCCAGGATGTGTAGAAACTGAGCCAACACGAGAACTAGCTTTACCTCTAGTCATCAAGGGGCAGTTCTTACATTGTTGAATTTCTCTGGTTTTTAAAAAGGAAATGCATTGTTGCAGCATTTGGCAGAGATGGAGGGTCATGCGCGCACACACACATCATAACGCAAAATACCAAGAAGTCATTAATGGAGTCCATGTGCACAGATGAAGAGATATACCCACATATATTCACAAAAGCTTACTTCTGAATAAGTTCCAAACCTCATGATTTCTTTACCTTCCAATGGAGGTAAATGGCGAACAAGGAATTGGGGCCCTTGTGCTGAATTTCTACTTTCAGAAAGTAAGAGTTCTTTTTTCCCCTTTTCCCTTTTCTTCACTTCAGATTTGCTGCTGGGGGTAGTCACAAAAGCCACAGTCTCTTTTTTAACTTTACTTGCAGTCTGCTCAAAGTGCCCCAGTGGCAAGGCAGGTGAGATGCAGACACTTCAGCATTGCTGAAGACCTGCATTGCTGAGGCCATACAGGCAGCAGGGGCCATCTCCGAGCAAACGCTGTGAATTTGGAAGCATTCTGCTGACCTGCCCATTTTGGCCACTTTTGGGGCCGTGACCTGCTGGTGGGCATTGTGGGCCGATTTTGGACATTGCAGTCTGATTTTGGGTGCCTTCCCTTGACACTACATCCAGGGCTTCGGAGAAAGTGCTTACACACGGGGGTACCAGAGGCCTTCTCTGAGCAAACGCTGCAAATTTGGAAGCATTCTGCCAACCTGCCCATTTCGGCAACTTTCAGGGCCGTGACATGCAGGTGGGTGTCACAGGCCGATT